GGGACTACAGGCCTGTGCCACCATGCCTGGCTAATTTTTTCTATACATTTTTAGTCGTCCAGCTAATTTCTTTCTATTTTTAGTAGAGACGGGGGTCTTGCTCTTGCTCAGGCTGGTCTTGAACTCCTGAGCTCAAAGGATCCGCCCGCCTCGGCCTCCCAGAGAGCTAGGATTACAGGCGTGAGCCACCGCGCCCAGCCATGCAGAATTTTATATTATGAATAATCTCTGCAACACTAGGGCTTTCTCTGTCATTCTCTTGAGAAAGTATTTGTTATACTGTTTATAAGAGCAGCAACGTTAAGAGGAACAGAATGGTAGTAGCACTCTTTGGAGTTCATTTGCTAAGGTAATTCCTTACCTTGGGCTTTTTTTTTTGGTTAAATGTTTTTAATAGATTATAAAAATAATACACTAAAGTACCACTCAGAGGTAAAATATCTTATATTTTTTCTAGGATTTCTGCTGCTATATAAGACACACATGTATATCTTTTTAACACATGGAATCGTATTAAACTTTGCACCTCCCATCTGCTTCCCACCCCCAACATACCTTGTAATGCCTACTAGTTAAGAGCATGGATTCTGGACTCTGACTTCCTGGGTTCAGATCCCAACTTCACAGCCAACAGCTTGGTGACCTTGGGCAAGTTGTTCTCTGCTCTTCAGTTTTCTAATCTGTAAAATGGGGGGATAGTAATAGCACCTTGCCTCCTTGCTAGGGTTGTTGTAGCAATGAAATGCATTCATGTATGTAAACTGCTTAAAACAGGGCCTGACATATAGTTGGTGCTATATAAACATTGCTCATCTTTCCAAATCAACATGTACAGCTAGGCCTCATTTTTTCATTATATGTACGTACCTCAGTTTGTTTAATCGGGCTCTTGATAGATGTTAAGGTGATTTCCATGTTTTTTTTTTAAATAAACAATGCTTCAATGAACATTCATATGAATACATTTTTGTGACTTGTTCCAGGACTTCTATAATAATTGTAGCTTTAAGTCACTCCTGAAAGTTAGAGGAAAAAATACGAAGGAAGGTGGAGAAGGCAGACAAAGGCGTGGCCTGTGTGTAACTGGGTCACTTCCCCTACTCAGAACAAAGCAGGTCTCTCACTGTCTTTGTGCATATGAGGCTGGACTCATGTTGACTGCAGATGAGAAACACGTAGCTGACACTTTTTGTTTCAGAGCCAGGTGACATAAAACAATGTGTTTAACGTTCATAGTGATGAATGTAGTCTGGAGTTTCATCCTCTTCCCAAGATCACACGTCAGCCATTGTGTGTGCCAGGCACCCTACTCAACGTGTGATTATGCCCTTCTTTCCTTCCTTAATGGGACCATCTTTTTGATGAGCCGTGAAAGACTCTGGAGTTTACAGTTTTTATCTATATTCTCTTACGTGGAAAGATTGGGTTGACTCCAGGGAGGCTGTGCTGTGAAAAAAAGTTCTTGGCATAATTTCTGGCTATCTTTTTCAATATATCTCTACATTAGTTAGTATAAGGCTTCTCCTAGCTGGAGTTACAACTCTGGAAAATCCAGAATACCTCCTGTAAACCAAAATGTCTAATGGCCAGTGGAACTGAGAATTAAAAGATGTTCTGTGTATCACGCAGTAGGTGCTTAATAAATATTTATTGAATGAATGAATGGATTTGTCCCCCAGGCAGGAACCATGGGATCTTGCACTACTTACAAAGACTTTGTATAGGAACCTAGCCAACATGAAGTTGCCTTTCGTGGGAGAGATTCCATTTGGGAGTCCTCTAAAGCTCACAACATGTAAAACCGTTAAGGATGGTCTGCTCCCTTCAGCAGAATGTAAGTTCCTTAAGTTCTGCTTTAATACATTCTAAACTATGTGTACCATTTGCTTATTATCAGAGAAATGTTTAAATATGCATATGCATCTCCATACCTCCTATCTCTGCAGCCCTGTCATCTTGTTTATTATTCGAGAATGTGAATTTTGCTGTAAGATATTCAGTCTTGGCTTAATTATGTCTGGTAAGAAATGTCAGTCAAATTGCTTTGTGCATTTTATTTTTCAGCCATCAAACTTGAAAGGGAGTATGAACTGAAGCGCCTAAATAAACTTAAATGTCAAGAAAATATATGTAAGGAACTGCGACTTTTCCTAAGGGAAAGGCAAGCTGGTTTGAGGAGACCTCTCCCACCTTAGTGACAATCATCTCAGAATCGAATCTGTACTCTGTTTTCTGTAGCCGAAGGGGATGAAGGTCTCTGAACCTTTCACCGCGTAAAGTTTAGTGCAGACATATGGACGCCCACTGGTGGACCAGCCAGTGCCTGTAGATGTGCGTTAGTGGGCAGCTCTGACAGATCTTCTGAGTCCCTGCCGTACCCTGTCCCTTTATGTCATGAGCAGCAGCACTGTAAGTAGATGAAAATACGTTTGGAGTTGAATCATTTGTGATATTCATTTTGATTTTTATAAAATTACACTAAAGGAAGAGGAAACTCCTTATCAGAGGCATTGTGTTTTTTTTATAATTCTTCTTTCTTTTTTTTTTAAACAAGAGTCTCACTCTGTTGCCCGGGCTAGAGTGCCGTGGCGTCAGCCTAGCTCACAGCAACCTCAATCTCCTGGGCTCAAGCGATCCTCCTGCCTCAGCCTCCCAAGTAGCTGAGACTACAGACATGCACCACCATGCCTGGCTAATTTTTTCTACATATATTTTTTAGTTTTCCAGCTAATTTCTTTCTATTTTTTTAGTAGAGATGGGGTCTCACTCTTGCTCAGGCTGGTTTCGAACTCCTGAACTCAAACAATTCCCCCAGCCTCAGCCTCCCAGAGTGCTAGGATTACAGGCGTGAGCCACCGTGCCCAGCCTCAGAGGCATTGTTTTAAAGAGACATTTTGAACTTGTATCTTTGAGATCCCAAGGAGGGATCTAAAGGAAGGTGAGAGAGAAAGTCTCTTAAAAATGATAAAACTGAAACATTTTTTTTGGTTAAGATAAATGGCAGATTTTGTTTTAGTAACTCTCTTGTTTCTTATTTTCAGTGAAATATTTATTATTCACATGTAGTATTTTAAAGTAGTAAGTAGAACTTACTTTGTTTTTCTTCTAAAAAATTTTCAGTCTTTTTCCTTTTGCCTAATGTCATATTTTCTATCTGGAATGACCCGGAAGCATATGGAACATACATACATATGTGAAAGTGACATGAAAATACACAGAAGGTTTTATGAGGAAAATACGGAGTAGCTGGGGAATGGGGAATTGATTAACTGGAAAGTATTGGATTTAGATGAATGAATTTTCCTAGCATTTGAATCCAGTAAAGTATACTTGGATATTAATGTTCTATTTAAGCACAGTTTAGTGTTTTTTAGATGATTCAGCAGGTGTTTTAGGATCTTCTGATATCTTATCCTCTTATGAAAGGTATTGTGGCATAGTGTTTAAGAGTACAGACTTCAGGGCCGGGCGCGGTGGCTCACGCCTGTAATCCTAGCTCTCTGGGAGGCCGAGGCAGGTGGATTGTTTGAGCTCAGGAGTTCAAAACCAGCCTGAGCAAGA